TCTCTCTCTCTCTCTCTCTCTCTCTCTCGTAGTCCGCAAATACTGAGAAGTCAGGTAGTGAGAGGGTGAAGAAGAGATGGTGGACTTAGAAGAGGAAGAAGAAGAACTCTCTCGCTCTCTCTCTCTCTGTCCGGTACTAACCTGTGAAGCTGGCGCCTTGATTCAGGTACCTCGAAGATGGAGCTGGAGCTATGGCGCCACAGGTAAGTCTCACTGGCCTCCGCCAGCCATCTCTCTCCAACACTACTACTACTACTACTAGCGCCCTGCGCTGAGGACTACTCCTGCAGCTACTAGCGCCCAGCGCTGAAGAGTACTGCTAGCGCTAACGCTACTCCTGCAGCGCTCCTCCAGAGTGCTGCTGCCGAATCCTAAAGACTGCCTCCTGCCTTCTGCCTGGACTGCACGTGAAGTGCCTGGCCAGTCCCTACGAACTCTCCCTGCCTGTAGGGCGGGCCAGTCTTATATAGTGCTGGCCCGTCCAGGAGGCTGCTCTTGCCAATGCCCAAACGTGCTAGACCCTGAGGAAGCTTCCGGGAAGTTTCCAGGTAGCTTCTGGCTAAAGCTCTGAGGAAGCTTCCGGGAAGTTTCCAGGTAGCTTCTGGCTAAAGCTCTGAGGAAGCTTCCGGGAAGTTTCCAGGTAGCTTCTGGCTAAGGCCTGAGGGCCTATAGGCCCTTGTTTTCAGGCTGTCAGGCTGAAACGACACGCGGCCTGTAGGCCCTGGTTTTCAGGCTGTCAGGCTGAAACAGACATGGGTCCTGTAGGCCCTTGTTTTCAGGCTGTCAGGCTGAAGCAGACACGGGGCCTGTAAGCCCTTGTTTTTAGGCTTTTAGGCTGAGACCGTGGGACGGGCCCTGCAGGCCCGTGTGGCTGCGCAGTATGCCACAGCGATAGTGGTCCACCCACGAATACTCAATGAAGAGCCTCAGTATAGCCCAGCCAAACGTAGATACCCTCAGGGGTAGATGCTCCGAGGATGCCCCAGCTATTGCAACCTCCAGAAGGCTGGCTATGGCTGCTGTCCATGGAGAGAGTCTCGGGATGCCGCCTGTAGACAATCACCACCACCAACTTGCTTGGATCCAAACGCTGTCTCCCGAAAATGAACAGCCAAAAGTCCCTAAACTACCGGCTCAGTCCTATTAATAGACTGACCTCCTCTAGACCTAGGCCTATTGGGACCGGTACCGTTTCAGTTTGGACTGTTCGGCCTGGACCCTTTCCGGCTATACGGCATGAGACCGTCGCTACAGCCCAAGGCCGCTGGGCCTGCTGTCCTAGTGATAGCCCGGTACTGCTAGGGGCAGTGAGGGTACTAGAAGAAACTCGTGGCACTACTGGAAATGTAATTTTCCCAGATTTACAGATCTGTCCCTCCTGAATTTCCCTCGGACTGAACTCACGGTTAGTCCCTGACACAAACAAAATTACGAATCTAACCCTAGGACTCGACTGTATAACCTCACAGTCAGATCTCGGCAGCAGAAGGCAGCCATAGCTGCGCCAGTGCAGAAGTGTTAGAGCTAGTTATTAGTAGCGGACTCCAGAGGGGTTAGTAGAGTTGACAGTGGGTGCATTCAGAGTAGATCCTCAAATAGAAGTTAGAAGTTAGTGAGTGTGCATGCATGAAGGGAGAGAAGACACAGGGAGGACATAGCTAGGAATAAGACCAGCAAGGTGGAGAGTTACATAAGAGAGAAGAGCAGAGGGGAAGAGATACTTACCTGAGAGCTTATGCTGATCATGGGTTACCTTTGGCACGCGCTGATGAGTGCTGGTGACTTGAACTCTTATTGCTCTTGTAATACTTCTTGGAAATGATAAGCTGCGCTACCTGGTCTTGATTTCTCTGGAGTCCAGTGTGAATTTCGTGTGATCTCATACATGCATGTGGTGTGAATATGTGCGCTCACTGGTGTTGAACTAGGAGGTTCAGTGCAAACTGGTATCAGAGCAGTTACTCGCTGCACCCACTGATTATCGCTGGCAGTGATTAAGACCGGCGAGAGGGGAAATGAGGAAGAAAGTTGAGTGGGGAGAAGGTTGACGAAGGGGGTAGAGAAGAAGTAGGCTGAAGAAGAAGTGGCTTGATTACGTACCTGATTGCTGCTGCGTTGGAGTGTTGGAGCGGCTGTGGAGCTTCATCAACGGAACGTTCATTGGAGTGAAGTGCATCCCCCCATTTAACCTGTATTGCTTGCTGATCTGTCTTGGTGTTTGGTACCTTCTTCATCCTATTGTCGCTGCTGCTGGGCTGGACCAAATCTCGAACATTTGGTCGGGTCTTTTTATGTTCACCCTGCTTCCAAAGCCATTCCTTGGGATTGAATTCCAAGTCTGCGGCGCTGAGCCTTGGTTGGAAGATTAACCACAGTTTAAACCTGAGATACTCTTACTTTTCTGAGTAGGAAGGTCTTAAGGATTTCCTCTTCGGGGTTTGTGTTCCGGATCTAGTAGCTGCGAAATCGAGGGAATTCGCAGTAAGAAGAAAGCATAAAGGCAGTCATAGAGAGAGGAGAACTTAACCTAGAACACAACCCGAGGTCGGGAATGCTAGGAACTTAACCTACAACACAACCCGAGTTCAGAGATGCTAGTGGAACTTAACCTACAACACAACCCGAGTTCAGAGATGCTAGTGGAACTTTTAACCTAGAACACAACCCAAGGTCGGAGATGCTAGTGGAACTTAACCTAAAACACAACCCGAGCTCAGAGATGCTAGTGGATTTGTAGTAGTTTGTACTCAAAAGCCAAAGAAGAGCTAGAACAACGGCCTTCCGGGTATGTGGAGGGATTCCCGGCCTCCTTTTGCTCTATATATAATGAAGCATGCTATTTAAAAAAAAAGAGAAAAAAAGAAAAGAAAAGAAAAGAAAAGAAAAGAAAAGAAAAGAAAAGAAAAGAAAAGAAAAGAAAAGAAAAGAAAAGAAAAAAGAGCTAGAACAATGGAGTAGAGCATGACTAAGGATTTGGAAAATTGGACCCAACTCAAGGAACATCAGGATAGACGACGTATTGGACACTCAAGGCAAGATTGGGACTAAAACCTCACAAATTTCAGAAATAGTCTCTAACTTCTTCAAAGAATAATACACGAGCAGAACACTACCAGAGAGAGAGAGCCAATGCGACAAATGAGACCTATAGACGGTTTTCTGTCTCACGTGCACAGATCACTCTCCAGAAAAGCTAGAAAGGCCGATATCGTTGGAAGAGATACATACGAGACACTCAAGGAAACGAAACACAGCAAAGCGCCAGGCGTGGGTGAGTATGCAAAGAATTATGGGTGGCAGGTTAGGATTGGATAGGCCACAGCTCCACTCCTTTCTACGGAAGGCTCGGGAGACTATTCCTGGAGCTGAGTATATGGGTGATTAGTAATCATTACTGTACTATACAGAAAAGGAGCCAAGGAGAATATATGTAAGTGTTATGATCCTGGCGAATTTCGAGATGCACATTCATCAGATAGTACAATGCCATCCAATTGCAGAAAGAAATGAATGAACTTGAGAGGAGAGAGAAGATTAGAAGAAGAAGAAGAAGTAAGAAAGAAGAAGAAGATGAAAGAAATGAATGAACTTGAGAGGAGAGAGAAGATTAGAAGACGAAGAAATAAGAAAGAAGAAGAAGATGATGTACACCAGCATAGACAAATGATGAAGCTCTTCTTCTTCGCTCAACCCTCTCTTCCTCCTTATCTCCTCCTCTCTTATTCACACAAGAAATAATAATACAATGTTGTATAGCTGAACCAGAATCAAAGTCCGAATCCCTCTTCTACTGCAGGTATCACTTGAGGTCCACCATAGCCATGGCCGCCTCTCCCACTCTTCACTCTCATAGGCCGAGGCTATGGCGGACCACTAGGCCTTGCCCCGATGTCCAAAGGACAACCCAAAGCAGCTATGGCTGCCCTAGCTCAGGCCGCCATGCCTGACTCTGCCTCAAAGCTTCTTGGTGTAGCTCAACCCCAGCTGGGGCCTTCCTGCTGCAGCGCCCACCAAGGCGATGAAAATGGCTGCCACCATAGCCAGGTAAGTACCTCTGGCGCTCCTCCCCCTTCCTGTCCTTCTTCCTCCTCCGAGTCCTTGCTTCTTCCCCAGCAGCACTGCTCCAAGCTAGCGCTGCTCCAGCTAGCACTCCAACCAGTGTGTCGCCAAACTTGCACACGGACAATGAGGCTGGGCTCTTCGCCCGGCCTGGAGATATAGCGGCCTGCTTGCCTCTTGGGCGGTGACTTCCGGGCTGCTCGGCCTTCCCAGCAACCGGTACCTCCTCCCTTTCGGAGGGAAACATCATTGCAGACTCTGATATTGCCCGTACAGGCCCTAGACTCAGACTGGTTGGACTGGTACTCGCCTAGACCTAGCCTACAACTAGTGGGCCTCTCAAAATGCCACTTTTGTCTTCTTCTGCTCGGCCTCCAGTACCCGCACATCTACCTCTTCAGGGTGCGGTACCGGCCTACCTGCTACTTAAGTGTTTTTCCCCGTTGCAATCCCTCAATGTCATGGCCACAGGTAAGTACCAGCCCTGAGGGCCCAATGAACGAACAGGTGCCCTTACGGGCCACGCACACACTCAAGCCAACCAGCACTCAGACAGACGTGCAGTCCAGCAAGCGTGCACACACACAGACTTAGTAGCAAGCGGGAAACTCAGCAAGGCATTCAGTCCATGAGCAAAACTCAGAAATCAGCCATGTGTTTCAGTCCATGTTTGGTGGGGTCATCACACTACTCCCCCTTCAAGAGCAAGGTCCCTTCGAGCGACTAACTCATTCTGAGTTCCTGACAAATGCATCATAGGCAAACAAGGCAAAGAGATTTCGAGAATACTCTGTCATAGTGAGATTGGCAGAGAGTAGGTGCATCGTTAGAGGCGATTCGTCGTTCGTAGGCTTTAACAACGCGCGGTGCGCTGCGCAACAGTTCCTGCTTGGAAATCCAGTATAGATCATCCAGCAGGTGGTCGTTCCCTACGTGTTGTTTAATTCTGTCTATCTCATATCCGCCTTTGACTGTACGAGGAATCAAGTCTTCACGGTAATCAAACGACTTATCATCACGGTGGAGATACAGTTTTGATGCATGAAACACCGGATATGTGCACAGATGAGGTGGCACAGCAACCACGTATGAAGGGCCAAATTTATCTTTGCCAATCACATCCAGAACTTCCCACGGACCATAATAGAGTGGGAGAAGTTTACGTGATACTCCCTCTTCTTCTGAAAACTCAGACATCTTGACTCAGACATAACTTCCCACCTTGATATCTGAAGGTCGGCGCTTCTTGTTTGCATGATGGATCATGGCGTTCTGTCGCCTGGTCATTGCTGCAATGGCAACTTTGAGCAAGCGATCGTACTTGGCCCTGAAGCCAGGCCTGCCGGGTGTTAAACCAGCTGGCTGCTCAGGGAATAGGTAGGGGAGCGGATTACGAATCTTCCAACCGTAATGCAGCCTGTTTGGTGTCATGCCGGTGGCAGAATGAATGGAGTTGTTGTACAACCCATTGACGGAACACAACTCTTCATCCCATGTTTCCTGATCCGGAATGATTAAAGCGCGGAGAAGTTGGAACACAGTCTGGTCGATTTCTTCAGCCAAACCGTTGGCTTCCGGGTGTCGGCCAGATGTCATGCATAACGTGAGGCCAGGGAGTTGGGACGTGAAGTCTTTCCGTTCAGTACTGATGAAGCGCGGGTCCCGATCACTCACAAGAGTTTTCGGGGTTCCAAAGTGCAGAATGTACTTCTGTTTGAACTCGCGGATCACCAATTCAGTTGGAGCATGAGATGGCAAAGAAATCAGCCGTGTGTTTCAGTCCATGTTCAGTCGGGTCATCACATAAGTATAGACCTAACTCTTTCTTACGACCAGTATATAAAATCCTAGCTGAATGGTTGAGGACAATGCACCCATGGAAACTGAACGGAAACCGAAGGGGGTTGTATCAGTGTTCTTCCTAGAGAAGTATAGCCCTGGATTCTATCACATATGAGTCAGCGAGGAGGAAGAAGAAGAAGAAGAAGAAGAAGAAGAAGAAGAAGAAGAAGAAGACGACATCATCACCAGGTTAGGATCACCATCGGATTTTCCCGATCCCTTTCCACCCCATCAGCTGGTGGTGGTGGACATGCAGTGGTATGGAGCGGAGTAAGCAGGACTGCAACAGGATATACGTAGGGGTGCCAGCATCAGATCGTCATTCGGAGAAAGGAACCAGTTGGTAGCAGCAGATATATGGCGCCTGGCATGGGGCGAAGAGGTTCCTGTCCCGATACAACCTGCTCAGTTAATCCTCTGGACCCCAGAGCAATCAATGCTGGCAGGGTTTTCTCTACTTCAGTCTGTATTTTCACTATGTATATGGGACGCTGGACCCGCTTTCCAGCAGGTGATGCTCCCCACCAATAGATGGAGCCTCTCCCCCGGTGCTAGCGATGTTTGCTCTTACCAGCACCTCTAGCACTGGAGAGGGTTTTTTTGGAAAAAAAAAAAAAAAAAAAAAAAAAAAAAAAAAAAGGATTGTCTCTCATCAGCCTAAGCAAGCTGCAAGTGGTACAACTGGAAGGATAGAACCTGTCTCTTATACACATCTAGATGTGTATAAGAGACAGGCTTAACTGGGACTCACACTTTTTTTGTGTTTTATGTAACCCCCCAAAGAGTGGACTGGGTATTTGAGGAGTCGGTTTCTGGCACTTTCACTTTTTTTTTTTCTTCTTCTTCTTTTTGGCTTCTTCCCCCCCCCTCTCCTCTCTCTTCTGGAAGGTGCACACCAAATCCAATTCCTAAATCACAATGTGAAAACGCTGGTTATTGACAAATTATTACCTTCAGAGAAGAGGGACGACAATGACAAAACCGGGGGCCTTTCGGCCATAATTATAGGGAGAGGCATTGTTCGTGCACTTGTCTCTTCCTCCTGGTGGAAAAAGAACTGCAGAGCATTCACCCAGAAAAGAAGGGGCACTCAGTGTGGCATGATGCACATTGGGGAGGCATATCTGAGGAAGACAGGTGCTAACAGATGGGTGACAGCCAAGATGGGAGTGTTGTGCAGGAAGAAGACTTCTTTTTCTTAAGGGTGACGTCCTCCGGATATCATTGATTGATGATTGAATTATTGAACTGAACGGCCCTCCAGGCACTTCAGAATAAATTGTATTCTCTTCATCTGAAGGTATCTGGACTCGAACTTGAATCTGTATATCAACAGTTCAGGTAGAAGGGTGTAAAAAAAAAAAAAAAAAAAAAAAAGTTAAGGTAGAAGGTGTACCAACTGAGCTAGGGTCGTCGATGCTTGCACAGGAAGAGTTTGTTCAGACTGCTGTCACGTCTTTTTCTTTTTCTTTTTAATAAAACACCTCCAATCTATTCCTGTGGCGCAGCACGGGTGTATGTTTTGGATGAATGTTGGCACAACAGATTGTTGATTGGTTACTCTCACTGATTAATTCGATGGGTTGGTCTTTGATTCCAGGAGTGATGAGGAGAGAGATCAGGAGAAAGCACCTGTTATGGCTGCAGAGGCTGTAGAGGAGGACTTGGATACAAAAATGGAGCCTGCAACTCAACCTGCCCGGAGGAGCTCGCGCCCAGGCAAGGCCCCAAGAAAAGGGTTGGATCTGGCAACAACACTAGAGAGAATCAATAAGAACTTTGTCATTACGGACCCCCGTTTGCCAGACAACCCCATTGTAAGTATATCCTAATGCTACAAATTTCCAAATTTGAATTTACCACCCTGCAGTGTGAAAGCTTAATTAATCAAACACTGAGTCATACCCAACACACAGCAGTGGTCCTTTCTATATTATATACCTGATGAGTCGGTGAAACTCCGACGAAACAGTTTGCCACAGCCCCTTGTTTGTTGTCCTCTTCTCCCTCTCTGCCTACGGTTTACCGGGCAGCTCTGTTTGACTATATATATATATATCCTCACAAATAGAACTGCCCGGTAAACCGTAGGCAGAGAGAGAGAAGAGGACAACAAACGAGGGGCTGTGACAAACTGTTTCGTCGGAGTTTCTTGTGAAGTCTGATGTCATATCTTGTGTCATCACATCTAATATCGTTTTGTCTTGTGTTCTTCACTTGTTTTTCTCCTCATTGGATGGAGTTTATGCAGGTCACCCTCATAAAGAGAGGCGGTTAACGGAGACTCCTCAATTTTCAGACAACTTCTCAATGCCATGCCATTTATAACAAAATGCATAACGTAACCATCATTCCACACTATATGTCGTTCGGCCTAGTCAGTGCAAACATCTGATGGCACAGACCATGATGCAGTATGGGGCCGACTTTGAAATTTTAAAGGCCACGGGGAGTTAGACAAGTAAACTTAGTAAAGCAGTTTACTTTATCCCTTCTCCTAATTTGAAAAAGAAAAAAAGAAAAAAAAAGTTAGAAAAACATCATTCAAGACCTGATAGTTGTCTCAGAGCATACTCGCACTGGGAATTTTTCGACTGAACTCTGAACGTAATTGTCATCAGATACGCAATTGGGGGGAGAGAGAGAGAGAGAGAGAGAGAGAGAGAGAGAGAGAGAGAGAGAGAGAGAGAGAGAGAGAGAGAGAGAGAATACAGAAATATCCAGTGAAGTTCTACTATCTCCCTAGGAACACAACATACCCTGGTCATGCCCTGGTCATGAGCGCACACAAGCTATCTTTCCGGTCCGATACAGTCATGATGAGGGTGCGTTATGTTCAGGGGACGACTGGTGTGATTATGTCCTCAAAAGTTGAACTGGATCACCAACCCATCATCCATCTGACTCCTGCATTTGAAATTCAAAGAGGACTATAAGTTTATAACCAACCTGTCTTGGCAAACTTTTTTTCCCCTTTTGGAATGAAAAAAGGGCGATGGCCTTCAGATATCATTGTTGAACTGAACTGAACGTCCCCAGGTAATTCAGAATTTTTTTTTTTTTTTTTTCTGGTCATCTGATTTTGTCTGTACTCGAACTCGGGTCTATATTTCAACAGTCCGTGGGTATACCTACTGAGCTCTTTCTTTTTTTTTTTTTTGTAAGCCGAAAATATATTCATTCTTTGTTTCCTGTATGCTATTTCAGATTTTTGCATCTGATAATTTTCTGGAGCTTACCGAGTACTCAAGAGAAGAAATTCTGGGCAAGAATTGCAGGTCAGTTTTAAGCCACTGCTGCAGTCAACAAAAGGTTACAGAATGGATGACCTCCTTTTTTTGCTCCTTTGGGTACTTCCATGCCTCCATGCCTTACCAAGTTCAATATCTTCTGAGTTCCATCTTTGTTGTACAATGAGTTCATTAAAGTTGATTAAACTTCATTTACATCCCCTTTTGTTCTGTTTACCTGTGTTTCCGGGGTGTCTCTCCTCACCAGGCATGATTAGTTTCAGTTTTGCCTATGGTGCCTCGCCCAACTCTTAAAATGCCAGTGTGGCAGATCCTAAATTTTCAAACCTCGTTTTTTTTCACCTTAACATATCGTACCAGTGCCGCCCAGGCCACTACATTGACAGCGCTGTCAGCTTCTATGTGGCATGCAGTCGTGGAGGAGGGGGACCGTGGTGGTTTCAGAAAGAAACGATGTGGTAACCATCCAGGAGCCTTTGAGTTATGTGTACAAGCCTCTTGGGCCCTGGGACGGTACTGGTCCAGCATGCTTTAAGTTTAAGACAGAAAAGTGAGGGGAATGTGTACCACAGCTTGTTTAAGTGACATCACCCTGTACTGGTATTCACTGGTTTGGAGAAAGAGCAGGACCGAAATTGCAAGCACGGGGAGTGGCGGAGGGCCGTAGTAGTGATTGATGCCATGCATCACAAAGGGTCCTTTGGCGAACACAGATTTGATTGATCATTCGCACGGCGTCCAGGTCACAGTTGCCAGGCCTCTGCCGGGTTACTTACAGCTGCTAAGTAAGGACCTCCGTGAGAGCTGTGCGGGTATGGACTGCTTTAGAAAAAGACTAGTGGGCATACCTGCTAACTGGCCCAGCATTTTTGGGAAAGCTAAAGCAGCTCATCATGCCCGCTCATTGTAAAGATCTCAGCTCGCATCACTGTGCGTAATCATCTGCTGCAAGGCAAAGTGTGTGTGGTTGTGTGCACAATACAAAGAACAGAGGTCAAATCCACACAAAATAAGCCTCAGAAAAAAAAAAAAAAAAAAAAAAAAAAAAAAAAAAAAAAAAAAAAAAAAAAAAAAACCCAGAACCTTATGGCTCTGGCTCCTTGTCCATTCTGGGGAGCGTCAGTTCGGTTCCTATTCCACCGACAAGTCAAGTAGGAATTGAAGGTAGTATTTTTCTCATGTTAAGTCATGGACTGGTTTCTTAAGCCCTTTGTCAAGAACGAGACCTCTGAACGCTCAACGTGCATCTGTTCGATCTGAGAAAGCCTCTGCACTGGGTCATCACTGCCTGTGCCGCTGCTGTCACAGCTTCCAAATTCCAATTTGAAACCGGTCCATTTTTTAATGATTGACCCCTGTATGTCCCATTTCGTCCATCTCAGTTTGTCGTCGGCGATAGTGGATGTTTTGTCTCGCAGCATCCATCCTCGGTAGAACGCTCTCTGTTTGGCTATAGATTTGTCTGGCATGTCTCTCGCCAATAGTCTGACCGGATTCCATCTGCAGCGGATTTCAGTTTCCAGCTTTCCACTGTACCGATGAGTTGAGATCAGGATTCCTCTTTCGTAAGAAGAACTTCGTCGATGGTTTGTGTGCATCTCCTCTTCCATATTATCTACAAAGCGACTTTGCAAGCACTGCCTACTTGCCGCATCTTAAGGGTGATGCATTAGACACATAGGAAAACACAGGAAAAGGCTGGAGCGCACACAAAGTGAACAGCACAAAGAAAGTCCTTAAAACAAGAGGGAGTAAAGAAGTTCTAGATAATATGATTGTGTGCATGTGTGTGTTACATGCTGCGCCTGCACACGAGGGCCAATTTTCAGGCCCTGCGTCCCTCAGGCTGAAAGCCTGAAAAACAGGGCCTACAGGCCCCGTGTCTGTTCAGCTCGAAAGCCTGAAAAACAGGGGCCTACAGACCCTGTGTCGTTTCAGACTAAAAATGGCAGTAGCCTTTTTAGCCTGAAACGAAGGGCCATTTTCGGTCTCTCATCAGACCGACCTGCCCTGAAACTCAGGCACCGAACCAGGGTTTTAGGAACAGGCTATTTTTGGTCTGTTCCCACGACAGCTGCAGCGCCAGACCCTGGCTCAGTTTGGCATTGGCAAGAGCAGCTCCTGGACTGCCCGCCCTGCAACTGCAGGCAGTCGGAGGCAGTCAGGAGGCAGGCCGAGGTAGTACATAGGGACTTCCCAGGCACTTCACGTGGAAGGCAGGAGGCAGTCAGTAGTCTTCAGGATTCGGCAGCAGCACTCTGGAGGAGCGCTGCAGGAGTAGTGTAGCGTTAGCAGTAGTCTTCAGCGCTGGGCGCTAGTAGCGTTAGTGGTAGTCTTCGGTGCTGGGCGCCATAGCTAGAGTAGTACTAGAGAGAGAGATTGGGCGGAGGCCAGGGATACTTACCTGCAGCGCCGTTGGTCCAGCTTCGTCTTCGAGGTACCTGCAGCACAGCGCTCCTCACAGGTTAGTACCTGGCATACGAGAGAGAGAGAGTTCTTCTTCTTCCTCTTCTCAGTCCACCATCTCCCTCTCACCCTCTCACTATCTGACTTCACTGCATCAGCAGACTACAAGAGAAAGAGAGAGCTTGGTGACATTGGATCCAGACTCGACATTTGGGCTTCAGACATTTTGACGAGGGATTATTTGGGACGTGTGACAAAGACTTGTTGTTGACGACATTCCCATCTCTCCCCGTCCTCTTCGTCTGTTCCCCTCCTCTTCGTCTGTGCATGATCAGGGCCTGGCGCCTTCTTCCTGTGTACAGCGCCAGATCTCTTCACACCTTGTGATGATAATGATGTATGTTTAGTCTGCGTGCAACAGTGGTTGGGCTAGTCATTGATATTCTAGCATTCTGCTATGCTATCTTGCACTACGTGATAGGAGTCAGTCCCGGTCAGGTCAGGACTTATATCCTAAGTCTTCCCTGCGCTATAAAGCACCATTTTGTATGTATCGGAATGCACATTGCTTGTTGAGATTCCACTTGCACTGCATTGTCCATTCAGTCCTTTTTATCACATTGTGGATCCTCGGTTTATATGTACATCGCCCAACTGGGCATGTAACAGTGTGTGTGTGTG